GGTGAAGTAGAAGGATTAGATTGAATAACTAATTTTTCTTATTCGAATGTCGAAGACATGTGAAAACTTGGTAGGAGATTGGAAACTTCACAGGAGATTTCATGTCACACAGTAGGGAAATATCCATTGTAAATAGTTATTTTCAAATTAATATATATAGTGGTTCTAGCGTTAGGAATCGGGTGGAAATATCATTACAAAAACTCTATAGAACTCAAAGTACCCAAGTCAAAGCGAGAAACGAGTTTGTGAGGAAATGTATGATTCTGCACACCGTTGTTTCTTTACTTGATTGAAGTACCTTTTATTTTTCATTTACTTTGTCTCAAAGTTATTACTTTTCCAATTTATTGGGATTTCTACACAGTTGAAACCACTTATTCCTTTGCCCATTATTTTTAGTTGTGTTTACTTCAATAGACATTTAGTTTTAATTTATAACAATAGTTGAGCGACTGCAATTTTTGGAAAATATGCACACACAAATTCCTTAGAACTTCCTAGCTTGGTCCTGTAAAATATTATTCAAAACTAAGTGATTGTTTATCAAAAACATGGATAAACAAAGTGGTACACCCAGTGGGACCCTTTTGTACAAAAAAATTCAAATATTTTCAACTTTTTTTGTTTGCTACGTTTTAAAATTGTTCTTCATGCGTGAAATGTTCCCAATTGTTATGTGTGTATGCATTAAGAAGTGGTAAAGCCCTCCTTGAAATGGTGTGTTCATTTTCTAATAACCCTTCTTCTCATAACCCTCAGAACAATTCCCAAAATGTAGAAGAATAACTGGTCGAATCAACGACTAGAGATGTAGTTATTTCGACTCCTATTAGAACAACTGCTCCTATAGTATCATCAATTCCAATATCACTGATACTATCTAATGGGAAAGTTCTCCCACCATAACTAGTGAGTCTCCCAATTAATCTCACGGTTATAAGACTAACTCTGGAGGACCCTAGGCTACCCTAGGCTACCTTATATTCAAATTTTCTGATTTCTTATGGGTAGCAGGGAGTATTCATATGGTATCCCACCAATGATGATGATAGACCTACAAATTAATACGCCAACATATATAGAGAATGCAATGGCTGCCACTTCACCCTATAATTTGCATCCTGTCTTAGGTTCGACCATAAATAATCAAGGTCGAACAGCGCCACCACCAGGGGGTTTATGTTATATCCCTCAAGTGATGCATACGATAAATATGGCATCTCTTATGTCTATGTGGCATCAAATGGATGAAAGCAACTACGAGATAGTTAATATGTTGACTTAGCATATTGGTATGTTGTTCAATCCCTTGATTCAAAACACCAACCAGAGTTATAAATTATTGTCCAGCCAAATGGGTCGAATAACCAATTTCTTCGGTGCTCCCCAGGCTCACCCATGACCAACTCCTCAAATCTCAAATTTCAGACCAGTGGAAACGCCTGACAATGGAGCGGCCCCTATCAACCAAGGGCAACATACCCTCCCACACATAGATAGGACGAAAAGTATATAGGTCAAAATAACCTAAGAGTGATGTTGCTAAATAGAAAACAGGATGCCAAAGAAGTGATTAGAAATGTTCAACAGAACAACTTAAAAGGGAAATACAATTTGACACGCATGGTTTAAAAAATTCTAGCCCATAATGGCCTTAATATAAACTTACACAAACCTAATTTTGTGTCTGCCTTATCAGAATATGTACTACAAAGCCGAACTTCTTAGGGGATGGATGGAAATACCACAAATTTACCAAGTTTACAGGCGATACAAGCGAATCGACTGTCGAACATATCACTCGATACTTAACTAAGGCAGACGATATGGCAAACAATGAGAATTTAAAGATGAAATACATCCTAAATTATCTCACTAAAAATGTCTTCACATGATTAACTACACTCCTTCCACACTCCATACATAACTGGAGTCAATTAGAGAGAGTATTTCATGAACAATTCTATATGGGGCAATCAAAGACCAGCCTTAAGGAATTGGCCAGCGCAAGACGCAAGGTGCATGAATCAATAGATGATTATCTTAATAGATTTAATCTATTAAAGGCAAGGTGTTTCACCCAAGTTCCTGGACACGAACTAGTCGAAATGGCTATGGGTAGCTTAGATTATTCCATTAGAAAGAAACTAGATAACCATTATCTAAGAGACATGGTCAAGTTAGCAGATATAGTTTGACAGGTCTAATGTTTAAAAGTTGAAAAGGTTGGGTCGAGTAAATTTCATAAGAAAGAAAAAATTACTTATATAGAAGCAGATGAAAAAACCAGGAATATGACATAGGATATGAAGAGGTTTAAGAGATAGATGTTAACGTGGCGGAACTAAATCCAAAATCTCCTTATGTCTGTAAATTATTAAAGTCATATGATGCGAAGAATCTCGTTAAATCCAAAAATGATAAGTTTGTCGCAAAAACGTATACAGTCAATGTAAATAAGTGCAACAAGATATTTGATCTTCTCGTTGTTGATGGTCAAATTATAGTGCTAAAGGGGATAAAAAATCACCTTTAGAACAACAAAAGAAGAAAGAATTTTTGTAAGTTTCACAACTTTCTTAGTCACAAAACTTTCTAATGTGTATTTTCAAAGATTTGGTACAATGAACGTTGAACGAGAGAAGATTGAAATTTGACAACAAAGCTAAGAGTCATATTTTGTGAATTGGTTTGGATGCTTGTATGTGGTTTGAGGTGGTTTAGACGTTGGTTCGAGTCACACGTATGCACTTCTTACTACCTTCTATTTCGTGAATTGGTTTGGATGCTCGATGTTGATATGTGATGTTGGTGATGATTCTCATGTGTATGTCATGGTATGGTTGTTTGTTGGTGTTGATACTCATGTGTAATTTCATCTTGCAGGGCATATGAGTATGATGATGAAGTGATGATGGGATCAAACCAAAAACGTGTGGGGAATCTTCCAACAAACTTGGATGCTTTTTTATATTATAATTTTTTCTTTTTTGTACTTTGTAAAAAAATTGTAAAATAAAATCTCTTTTGTCGTATGTGAAGCATGTAAAACCAAATTGTTAATAGAATTCCTTTTTCTATTTTAATTCCTTTCTTTTTGATATTTTGTATAATATATAAATGCATTGTAATAAAAAGAGAATGATGTAGCATGTAATATTGTATGCATGAAAATAAATACACTATTAATAGAAACGCATTCTCACAAGAGAAATGATACATTAACACTAAATTTAACATCTACATCGTATAAAAATACACTACCATATATTCTTTTTCACTTTTTTTAATTTTTTATGTGCATTGAAGTTTGTGCAATGTTGAAAATGAAACATGAAATACGATGTATGGCTACGGTGTTAAAATTTCAGTGTCATTATAGCATTTCTCTTCTCGAGAAATAATATATTGACACTAAATTTAACATCTACATCGTATAAAAATACACTACTATATATTCTTTTTCACTTATTTTAATTTTTTAATGTACATTGAAGTTTGTGCAATGTTGAAAATAAAACATATGAAATACGGTGTATGGCTACCGGTGTTAAAATTTCAGTGTCATTATAGGGTTTCTCTTCTCACAAACTGTCAAAAAATTTTGTAATTTTTGTAATTTTTTACCAATATAATATAATAAATTAAATATTGAAAAATATCACTCTTATTCATTTTATTTTTAAAATGAACCAAAACAAATTTGACTAATAATGAACTTAAGCATCAAAATAAAACAAACTTAAGAGTAAAGACTAAACTATGCAATTAAGACTTAAAGAAGTCAAAGTCAAAAATCAAACTTCTTGACTTTAACTTTCTTCAAATCTAAACTAATGAACAATAACAATACAAAATGAGAAATTAAACAAGATTGCAAAAGAGTCAACTTTTAACTTTGACTTTACTCAATTGTATACAAATGACTTATGAGAGATGAAAAGCATGACCAAATACAATAGTCATGTTGATGCAAATGAAAAATTAGAAATCAACAAATGCAATAGTCATGTTGATGCAAATGAAAAATTAGAAATCAACAGATGCAATAAATTGGTAAGACAAAATTGGGGTATAACAAAAAAAACTTTTTCTTTATATCATGGTTGATGAGTTGTCTAACATGCTGTTAGCTTAGAGGAATTTGTCTTTCTATTAATCAAATGCCTTGCCTATTTCAGCTGGTTTACGTTTAGGCTTAAACAATTCCTTAAAAAATGAACAAATTTTTATTATCCTATAAAATATTTTTCTTTGATTTTTATCCCTCTAAAATCTACATCAGTTTTTGATCCCCCAAGTATTCATTTTATGGCAGACAAATAAAAGTGACTTTAGGGATCAAGGAAAACTTTTCAAGTACTTACGTTCTACCATAACATTATTCAATGTCACTTTGATATAACAACATCTGCAAAGAAACGTAAGTAGTTAACAGTTGTCACTTACCAAGAGACCAAACATAGTACCTATCATATTTTAGAGAGATTGAAACCATGAGCTAATTTTACAAAATAACAATTACAAAGAATTGAAGAAATAATCTACTATCAAGTGCATAATTATGTTAAGAAATGAAGGGAACACAATAAATAGTCCCGGGTCGGATTAACAATACGTGTTCACTAACATGCATCATATAAGTGTTTAAACAAATCCATGGAATAACTTATATCATGTGTCAGAACATTCAACACTAATTGAAAAGAAGACACCTGTATGCAAATAGCACTTAGCGATAAATCGGAGTATCGAGCAACTAGTTCGGATAGTAAATATTTACAGTTGAAGATGCCAAAAGAACCAACAGTAAGCCACCATCTTGATGCCTATTTGAAAGATTGCTTTCAAGATTTCTCATAGACAGCATTGCTCACAGACAAAGATGATGAATGAAAAGTTGCATAAATTCTATAATCACCATTGACCAAACTGTTACTGTTGGATTCATATGGTATGATTCCTCATTTTCGTGTGGGTCTATGTATGTTCAATACTCAATGACGGAAAGTCTTCACTGCCCTTTCTATCTGTCTCCGGCAAAGAGGGCAACTGGTCAAGTGCGAAGAGCAAGCTGTACAGCAGCACATATGCCCACACCTGACATCACAACATAGAGCTTAAGAGTAAGAACATCTCATTTTAAGTGGTTTTAGCAGGCTTGTTGTTATGTTGGTAAGCATCCATATATAATCAAAGTAACAAAATTTAGCTCAGCTAACAAATTCCCTGCAAAGTCATACTTTCTTTTGCATGTAAAACAGACTGATACGAGTAACAAGAAGTTGTTGAGTCAAATACAATGGATAAGCAACTTTTCTTCATGTTAGAGAATAATCAATAAAGATCACACGGAAGAAATGTTACTGGAATATTTTATAAAGTGTATATCAATGCAAGAAATAAAGAAAATGGAAAATCGGGGCAGAGAATCACAAATATGGGGTGCATGCTTGTCCTTCTCAGTGACACTGCTTCGTATGATAGTATGACATACAATTAGAGAAGAGGATAAGATAGATAGCTTACGGAACAAAAACGGAATTATATTCCTGCTCGAGACATATTACACACAAATCTGGCATTGTGCGTTCCCTTTTAGCACCAACTGATAAGTTGTCAGCAATTTCACCTGAAACAGAATCATAAATTTCAGATATTTAATGAAGCAGCCATTACAAACTTAAATATTGTAGAATCAGTGCAATATACCTCCATTATCTTGTCCAGACATCTTAGCAGCTGCAGCAAGAACCCTGCATAAAATTGTTCAGATTATTAAAGGTGAGGCAATGTAAAATAGAGTGGAATCATATATTTCCAAATTGAAAGGTATTCAATGTATTCAGTTTTGTCACCATGGATGTGTACCTTTTTTGTATTTCATTGCGATGGCGTTTTTCCATGATGTACCGGATAGCATGATTGGCTATCAGATATACACCAAACACTGTCAAGCCCATAGAAGCAAACTTGTACCACCTAATAAAAAAAATTAGTCAATAGAAAATCCTGTAGGAAAAAACATACATTAAACACATAAAGAAAAGCAACCTCGCCCATTTCCCAAGATTTGCAATGAGTTCATCAATTGTTTTGGGAGAGACATAAAATGGCCCTTTGGTGGGTCGCTGAATTCGAATGGTTCCAACATCGTCTTTAGCAGCCTGATCATTCAGTTTAAAAATTATTCCTTTGAAAAAAGTTTGAAACAGCAAAGGATTAATATTAATAGAGACAAAAACACACCGAAGTAGATAAATTGAATATAGGAAGTAAGACCTCAAATAAAAATTTAATGAAGTCCTTGTAGATCTTTTCTTTGGAACAGAGACTTTTATCATTTTATTCACAAAGACTTTGATTATAATATCATATGCTGTAACGCATTTCACTTCGTGAGAAACAGCAATGACTATGATCAGAGTTTGATAAATAGATAATGCATAATGTGGGGTTCATTTTACTTATGTGTAAACAACAATTAATACAATAAGCCCTTCCCATACAAAACTTGCACCACGAGGAATATATCGCAATAGCATGTGTTTATTGATACTATTATTCTGGCCAGTAACCTGGTAAACCTTGAACCATTACCTATCTACTCTGCACCACTGCTAACACCAATTATAATGAAATTTTGTAAAATATGAGATTCGTGAGAAAGTAACTAGCTATATTTCTGAAACTAATTAAATTACCTCACCAACAACAGTCAAGGAAGTCCCAACTGGAAGTATCCGTTCAATTTTCTTAACTCCAAGCAACTGAAAATATAGTTTCGATTATGTCAGTTTACAAAATAAGCATCCGAGTGCTTCAATCTTTTTTTTTTGCAGGGAGAGAGGCAGAGAATGAATGGTGTGTTGCCAAGTACTAACACTCCCACCTTTAGACCTTGGAGATAATCCAATGTTCCGCGTGCAAGTGATCGACCCGACTCTTCAAATGCCTCACTTCCAACAGGCAATACAAAACCAGTGGCATCCCGAGCTCCAACTACACGCACACGATCAGTGCCATCATCCTAACACATAAAATTGAAGGAATTGTTATATTAAATCATTATTTCAAGTGAATATGGTTTCCTTTCCACTCATAGAACACAGTACACACACGCGCACACGCATATTATAATAGTTTTGATTTTTTACTATCATTTTCTTTTTTCTAGCTCCGGAAGAGGAGTGTTCAGAAGCTTAAATATTGACTTTAAAAAGGGAAGAGAGTGTTTTTCATCCCACCATCCAGATAACCAGCAACAACTACACTAAAGAGAAGAACCACACACCAGATACCAAGGAACCTCTTTACTCATGGATAACATTAACGCAGAATCTTGTATCCATGAACCGTTTTCATTGTGCTTCAGAAAATGTTGTTCAGCCTAAAAATAAATTGTAAGCAAGTAGGTATTATTCGAAAAGGGCAACAATGAGATAAGCAATGTTCTTATAAAAGAAGAGATTATCCATGCACTTAAGAAACGTAAATCTACAGACCGTTTCTTCCACTATTACACCTCTTAAACCACTGGACTCGCAATTAATCGGAGTTTCAGAACCAACTCTTCCAGAAATCGCAACAACCAAGGGACGTATTTCCTCATCCAACAGTTTCGCTGAAAATCAAAGAATCCCGAACATAATCAGAAAACCTAACAGCACAGATTGCATTACTAATTACCAGGTAAATTCAATAAGCATTAGGAAAAACCAAAACCAAAATCAATAACAGTAAAAGTTCCAGTTCATGAAAAAACACAAACCTAGCTCAATCAATTGATTAACCCTGCTAACAGATTTAAGCATTTCAGCATCCCTACGCAAGAACAAAAAATTCTCATAAATATTATTAATAACATCATAGAAAAAGAAGAAAACATTGAATTTCATGAAAATGGCAGAAAGTAACGGGATTCTGGCAATACCTGCTGTTTGCTCTACCGAGAAAGTAAAGAGCAGCAGCACTGAAACAGCAACTGATGCCACGCCAAGGAACCATCGCCATCTTCAACGAGACGACTAAGCGCACAGAGTCATTGATCGTTTGAATTGAAAAAAGCGAGAAACAAGGGTTTGGATTGAGAGAAAATCGAGATAGTGTTATAAGGATTTAGATTTATTAGGTAGGAAGAGAATTTGGCACAATAATAATAATAATAATAATAATAATAATAATAATAATAATAATAATAATAATAATAATAATAATAATAATAATAATAATAATAATAATAATAATAATAATAATAATAATAATAATAATAATAATAATAATAATAATAATAATAATAATAATAATAATAATAATAATAGTTAGAATTGAGGAAAAATGAAAATAAGAGGAAAACGAAGGAATTTGATGCAAGGAGTAAAGTGAAGGAAATGATGGGTAAAAGAAAAGTAGAAAAGGGAAATAGGATAGAGTGTATGAGTATCACCCTGCCTGCGTGTCAGGGGTTCTCCTCACAAAATAAATCTCAATTTACAAAAATATTTCGACTAAAATTTAATGTTTATTATTTTTTATTTTTTTGACAAAACTGTTTTATTTTAATTTTTTACAATATAGCTTGTTGAAAATTGGCCGCACGATTTTGGGGTATTATTAAATTTGATTAAAAAAATTTGAAATAAAAAAATAAATTAGCTGGTATTTATGAGAACATAAATGATAGGTTTACACTAGGTTTGACATATATGATAAACATATATATGATAAACATATATGATATAAAACTTCACTGAAATATTTATTTTTAATTTTATAATCGCTTTCTCTAATTTTTGGCAAATAGATATTAACTTTTTGTGACGTGACGTAACAACAAGTTATTAGTACAAATTTGAATTAATATATATAATTAAAAACATTGTTTAAATCGTTGGGTCTCCTCGAACATAAAATTTACACAATTTAAATAGTATATTAATTTTTAATTTCATATACTAACTCAGATTTGTACTAATAATTTTGTTGTCACGTCATGTGATCAAAAGTTAACATTTTGTCAAAATTTGACAGAAGGGATCAAATAAAATATCGGATATGAAATTAAAAGACTAACTTGTAATGTTTTTAAGTTAAAATGGTAAAGCAGAATATTAAATTAAACTAAGAGGCTTAGTGATTAATTATATCTCATTTTTAAATCAAAATTGATATATTTGTAAACATAACTATACTTTTTTTTTATATAAACAAAATGAATCTTATTGAGAAAAAAAAAAGCTTGTATACAAAGTTAGAAGGGGATTATATCAGAATTCTGTAAGTGAATATAGAACTAAAAAATCATGTGAAGAAACTTTTTTTTTATTTTGTTTGATTTTGACGAACACAAGTGTATTTTAAAATAAAAAAGACGGAGATGTCATGAAAAGGGATCAATGAAAAATAAATGAAAGAATTGCATGATCATTATCTTAAAAGTACATATCACAATTTATCGTATATATCACTTTGAAATTTAGAAGTTTTATACAAACTTCATCTTAATTTCTCTAAGATCGTGCATAAAAACTCTTAATCAATGCTGCCAAAACTTTTTTTTCTTCAAAGAAATGGTAGTGGTAATCGATTAAGGGTTCAAAAGTGTGTAGTACTTATTCATTAAAGTTATGGTGAAAAATATTGGTTGAAAGAAGTGGTGTTCTTTTCTTGTGTGTATGTTAAAAGATTGTAAGAGAAATCTCTGTGTGATACTTGTCCAAGAATTATAAACATAATGGAAAATCCTCTAAGGGAATAGGAGGACTGGAGGAATGGATTAGCCTTTATTTGAAGAAGGTGAACCGGATAATTCTCTTGTGTTATTTACTTTCTACACATTTATTTTTCTGCAATTTATTCATTAACGTTCCTAAATAAGTTTGGTAATCATAACATCGCTTCCAAAAAATTAACAAGTTAGCACTTAAGCAAGAAAATTTCAGCATACCTAATTCACACGCACACATATCTCTCTCTCTCTCTCTAATCTCTCTCTCTCTCTCCAATCTCTCTCTCTCCCTCTCTCTCCCTCTCTCTCTCTCTCTATCTATCTATCTATCTATCTCTCTTTCCAATCTCTCTCTCTCTCTCTCTGGTCATATCTAAAACTTACTTCTGGTGTTAGAGCAAGAGTTGGGTAAATTTATGTAAGATTCGGGATGCATGGGTTCCACTAAACCATTCTTAAGAGAATGCTCTAGTATAAATAGATCACATTGCTTTACCTGTGAATGTTACGATTTTTAAAAAATAAGAATGCAAATGTTCCTTGAATCACATGGTGTAGAATTTTGGAATGCGGTTGAAAAATGACCTTTCATACTTACCATTATTGTTGAGGGTGTATCATAGCCCAAGTCTAAAGATGCATAGAGTGAAGATTCTAAAAATAAAATTTTATATGACCTGAAATGGATGAATTTTTTAGAGTTTCAAATTACAAAATGACTAGAGAAATATGGGATACATCATAGACAACCCATGAAGGTACGAAATAAGTAAAAAGATCTAGATTGAACACCATTTTTCAAGAGTACGAAATGTTTAGAATGTTATCGAAAGAGAAAATTCTAAATAGGAAAAAGAGATTCACCCATTTGACAATTCATATAATCGTTCTCGAAAAAATCTTAACATATAGTGAATTAAATTTAATTGTTCTAAGATCTTTAGTAAGAGCATGGAAACCAAAGGTGACAGTTATTTTCGGCGACACTTTTTAGAAAGTTATAAGAGCATGAGTTAGAGCTCGGTCGATTATAACAACATGAAGAAATTGAAAGGATACATAAAAATATCTCTTTGAAGGCTTAGTCAAATGTAATTCAACAAGAAGATAGTTTGGAAGAAGTTTATATCATAACTTCTCTAATAAAGAATTTTGGAAAATTCTTAAAGAGAGATAAGACGGTAAGATTTGATCAAGGGAATACATTTGTGAAGAAGAAGGAAACATCAACATCAAATCAAAAGTTCACTTGCTTTGAATGTGAAAAATAAGGGCACATTAAGGTTGAGTGATTATCTCTTCAAAAGAAAATAACTTTAAAGAAAATAATGATACAAGACCAAAGAAAGCATATATTGCATCAGAAGACAGTGAAGTAAGTTAATAATCGGATTTCCCAAAATGAAGAACAAGCATGTTCTGGATTGGGCCGGGACCTGCCCCTCAGTCGGGAAGGCCCAACCTAATGTTATGCTGATGAGGCCCAGCGAGGCCCAATTCTCCTCTGTCGGGCACAAGCCTCAACAAGGCACCTATGTCAGGCAGGTGACTCCTTTGACGGGGAGGTCCACGTGTTTCCCCTACGTGCTCCCCCATGCAGGGACATGTCATCAACAACTACCCACCTCTGAAAGAGTTGGTCAGCCCACCTTCCGAAGATCACGAGGCAATTGATCTAGGGCGAAGACCATGTGTTGGTCTTCACTGCGCCACGTAAGCCCTGGTAGTTACTTGGGTTAGGCCTAGCAGTCTGGCCCAATACAATATAACTGTTGGTTGTGCGTTGGGGTCTCTCTATAAATACCCTCTTTCACTAGAGGGTCAGGTATTTTATTCTCTACATCTACTTCTCTGTATTTTCTCTCCCACTCTGATCCTTTACTCACTTAAGCATCGGAGTGCCTTGCAGGTACACCCAGTCCTTCTCCCTACCTCCAATGAAAGCTACAATCCAACAACACGTGGCAGGACATTGATCATTTCTAATTAGGTGAGATCAACGGTGCCGTCTGTGGGAAACTCAGTTTCCCCGTTCTTTCCCTTGTTCGAGCACAGAAGATCAAGAACCAAAGCAAAATCAACCTTCAACTTCCATTACAATCATGGCCAGCCTATGCAATAACAACTCCTCAGGGTTTGTCGTTGCCCCTTGTCCAACAGGGATGACCACGAACCTAACACGGTCGTCCACAGCAAGGAGGGTGACCCCAGGGACGGACGCACCGCCTCCCCCTTCTCAGAAGACGCGACCTTCAACACCGTTCAGCGCTTAGACAGCTTGACTGTCTACCAGCCCATTATGGCACCGGCGGGCGCCGACCCTACCGTCACGGCCCTGTTTGCGGCGATCAATCAAACTAACCTAATGATATTAGGGCAAAAAAATGGATAAGGATACTCGAGAGGGAACAACCGTCGCGCTCTCCTCCGCGTAGACACCATCGCCCGGTTTCTCCCAGTCCGTCTCCTCCCCCATAGAGACACGGTCGACGACACTCTATCAACCTCTCTCCCCCTAGGAGACACCATCGACAATGCTCTATCAGCCTCTTTCCCCCGCGGAGACACCTTCATCAGGCTTCCCTCAGTCCCTCGCCTCCTCCACGGTAGACATAGTACGTGGACGACTCTAGGAGCCCATCGCCCCGACCGGCAGGGCACCGTCCCAGCCAACGATTTCGTACAAGAGGGATAGATCCCCTCCTCAAGAAGAACGATGCTCACCGGCTCCGAAGAAGAATAAAGCAGCTGCAGCCCCCTCTAGACCGAAGACCCAGTCGAAGAGCCCATGTCGGCGACGAAACCTCCTCGATTCGGCCTCCCCCTCGTCGTCGCCTGTCTGGAGCAATGAAGATACCCGACATTCACCGCTGTGCAGAGCCATCAGGGAAGCACTATTTCCCGTCGAGATGGAGAAACCCCCAACCCTATCAACCTACGATGGGACGACCACATCGAAAGTATAGACACGATGCTGGACTATAGAAACGTCTGGGGAGCTATAAGGTGTAGACTGTTCCCCATCACCTTGAGGAAAAGGGCCATGGTATGGTACAAGCGCCTTGCGCCCGAATCCATCTCCTCATGGGGCAAACTGAAGCGCCAGTTCTCCAGGCACTTCACAGCGTCACGACGCGATCCGAAGATAGTGGCGGTCCTGGAAGCCATTTTTTAGGGAAAGAACAAACTTCTTAGAGACTACATTGAGAGGTTCAATCATGAGGTCGTCCAAGTATCTACGACGGACAACATGAAGAAGTTCCTGATCTAGAGGGGCATAAGGCCA